GGAAACATAGGCGTCTTGCATGCTCTTTGGGACGGGCTATGCCCTGACATTGCCTAGAGGCCATGGGAGCAGAGCTTTTTCTGCAGAAGGGCCACTGCTGTGGGCTCGTGTCTGAGAAGTGGGGTCTCTGGTGCTGACATCAGCGTTATCCAGCATGAAACGATAGCGTTTCCTTCAAACTTATTATTATTATAAAATAAAATGTGTTGTAGAAGGTAAAGTTAAGTAAAAAGGGAGAAAATAAAAGCTGCCATGGGTCCAGCACCTTGGACAGATGTTATCACACTGACACCTCCCCAGACAAGACAGATTCTTTAAAACGTGGAGTCTGGGACTTCCCTGGCGGTCCAGTGATTAGAACTCCACACTTTCACTGCCAAGAGCCTGAGTTCAGTCCCCAGTTGGGGAACTAAGATCCCGCAAGACGCGTGGCATGGCCAAAATAAATAGAACGTGGAGTCTGGCCCAAAGCCTTGTTTCCCCGGGGGCTGCACTGCTTGCCTCCTTTCCCCGGGGTTTCTCATGGCCAGTCCAGGTCCCGCTCATGTCCACCACGCACGCACCTTCCCCCTTGACCTCTCTGGGGATACTCTGGGCCACCTGCTGAGCCGGGTCTTCTTTCTCTAGCAGATCCCGACGGCCAGCTCTGCAGTGTCACGCCTGCCCCCGACGAGGAGCCGCCAGCCTGCCCCGAGGAGTTCGATGACTTCGTTACCTTTGAGGCAAGTGGTCTTCCCGGGAGAGCTGAGCGGGCATCTGACAGATACACCCTCTCTTCCTCATGTACCCTAAATCCTGCTTCACTCATTGGTCCCCACGGCTGTTTTTTTTTTTTTTTTTATAGATCTTACTGGAGTATAATTGCTTTACAATACTGTGTTAGTTTCTGTTGTACACCAAAGTGAATCAGCCATATGCATACATATGTCCCCATATCTCCTCCCTCATGAGCCTCCCTCCCACCCCTCCCTATCCCACCCCTCTAGGTCATCGCAAAGCACCGAGCTGATCTCCCTGTGCTATGCTGCTGCTTCCCACTAGCTATCTATTTTACATTTGGGAGTGTATATATGTCGATGCTACTCTCACTTCGCCCCAGCTTCCCCCTCCCACCCCATGTCCTCAAGTCCATTCTCTGTGTCTGCGTCTTTATTCCTGCCCTGCAACTAGGTTCATCAGTACCTTTTTTTTTTTTTTTTTTAGATTCCATATATATGCGTTAGCATATGGTATTTGTTTTTCTCTTTCTGACTTAACTTCACTCTGTATGACAGGATCTAGGTCCATCCACCTCACTACAAATAACTCAATTTCATTTCTTTTTATGGCTGAGTAATATTCCATTGTATATATGTGCCACATCTTCTTTATCCATTCATCTGTCGATGGACATTTAGGTTGGTTCCATGTCCTGGCTATTGTAAATAACGCTGCAGTGAACATTGTGGTACATGTCTCTTTTTGAATTATGGTTTTCTCAGGTATATGCCCAGTAGTGGGATTGCTGGGTCATATGGTAGCTCTATTTTTAGTTTTTTAAGGAACTTCCATACTGTTTTCCATAGTGGTTGTATCAATTTACATTCAACAGTGCAGGAGGGTTCCCTTTTCAGCACACCCTTTCCAGTATTTATTGTTTGTAGATTTTTTTGATGATGGCCATTCTGACCGGTGTGAGGTGATACCTCATTGTAGTTTTGATTTGCATTTCTCTAATAATTAATGATGTTGAGCATCTTTTCATGTGCCTCTTGGTCATCCCCACATTTCTGTGGGGAACAGCATGAAGGGCAGGCAGGCAGGGCTCATTCTGACACTGGTGAGGACACTGTGGTTGGCGGGCGTCTGCTCTCCGTGCTGTGCACCCGGGGCTGGTGGCCTGTTGTCAGCAGAGGGGCAGGCTCTCCTGTGACATTGCTATCCCCTTCTGCCAGACTGCCAAGCAAGGCCAGAGCACGGGCTCCTTTGTGAAATGAAGAGCTTCTGAGAGTCCCTGTGAATGGTAACACCCCACAGGATCCCACTGCCCTCTTCTGTGTCTCTGTAGCTTGTTCCCTGCTCTGAGAAACTGCCCAGGTATTAGTCACCCCTCAGATGACACAGGTTCACTTCCTGACTGTCTGTCACTTCTGCCAGCACAGGCCTCCAAGCCACCTGGGAGCATTCACCCCTCACAGCTTTGTCCTAGAGTCCCACCTGGGCCTGAGCCCCTGAGGGCAGGGACAACCCCACCTTGCGTCCCCCATTCAGCAACAGCTGGTGTGTTCATTCTTTGTGTGACCTGGTGGTGCCAGGCCCAGTCCTGGTACATGGAGGCTAAGTGCCCAGCTGGGACGTGTGCTGGCTGTGAGGCATGGTGTGGCCGGGCAGGGCTGAGGGTGTGCAGGACCCTGACGTGTCAGCTGTCAAGTCAGCTGCCAGACCCCGAGACTGTGGGATGGCGAGGCATGGAAGGCTATGTGTGGAATGACACACCTTGAACTTTCCAGAAGTGCAGCTAGGTCAGGGGAGAGCCTGCTTTTCTTGTTCAGAGTGTCTAGAGAACCCCGTCTCCTCACTTAGTGGTCGGCCAGCAGCAGATCTCTCCTGCCTGTTGACACACCAGCACACACTTTACCATCAATGTCGTCTGTTTTGTTCTTGTCTCGTATTTCCGTGAGGGCGTTATACTGATTCTTTGTATTTGATGTGTATGTGGGTGTCGTGGGTTGAATGGTACTCCCCAGAAGGTACATCGGAACCCGTGAATGTGACCTCATTTGGAGAAAGGGTCTTTGCAGATCTCATTAAGTTAAGGATCTCAAGATAGGATCATGCTGGGTAGAGTGGGCCCTGAATCCAATGACCAATGTCCTTTGAAGAGAAAGGGAGATGACGCACGGGGGAGAAGGCGGTATGAAGACGTGGGCAGAGCTGGAGGAACATGGCTGCCAGCCGAGACATCCCCTAGCCACCAGGAGCTGGACGAGGCAGGAAAGGTCCTCCTCTGGAGCCTCAGGAAGAATTCAGCCCTGCTGACACCTTGATTTCCAACTTTTGGCCTCCAGGTCTCTGAGAATATATTCCTGTTGTCTTAAGCCACCAGTTTATGGTAGTTAGAAATTGGCAGCCCTGGGACTTCCCTGGTGGTGCAATGGTTAAGAATCCACCTGCCAATGCAGGGGACACAGGTTCGATCCCTGGTCTGGGAAGATCCCACATGCCACGGAGCAACTAAGCCCACGAGCCACAACTACTGAGCCCACGTGCCACAGCTACTAAAGCCTGCGCACTCTAGGGCCTGCGTGCTGCAACTGCTGAAGGCTGAGTGCCCAGAAGCCGTGCTCCACAACAAGAGAAGCCACTGCAATTAGAAGCCAGTGCACCACAACAAATAGTAGCCCCCGCTCGCCGCAGCTAGAGAAAGCCCAAGCGCAGCAACGAAGACCCAATGCAGCCCAAAAAAACCCCACCGAAATTTAAATTAAATTAAATTTAAAAAAGAAAAAAGAAATTGGCAGCCCCAGGGAACTAATACAATGAGTTTTGTTACTCAGGATAGTAAAAGGCGTCAACACATTTGATCCAAAAGGGTGAGGCCCGGGCTTCCCTGGTGGCGCAGTGGTTGAGAGTCCGCCTGTCGATGCAGGGGACACGGGTTCGTGCCCCGGTCCGGGGAGATCCCACATGCCGTGGAGCGGCTGGGCCCGTGAGCCATGGCTGCTGAGCCTGCGTGTCCGGAGCCTGTGCTCCGCAACGGGAAAGGCCATAACAGTGAGAGGCCCGCGTACCGCAAAAAAAAAAACAAAAGAAAAAAAAACCAAAAGGGTGAGGCCCACTGACGCTGGGGCTGCCTCTTGAAGCCTGGGCGGAGCAGGCTTGGGGTGCTGTCCGATCGCTGGCTCCTGTCCTCTGCAGGGCGGACCCCCCTGGCATCCCACAAGTGTGGCCCTCCCACCTTTTTTTGTGTGTGTGGTACGTGGGCCTCTCACTGTTGTGGCCTCTCCCGTTGCGGAGCACAGGCTCCAGACGCGCAGGCTCAGCGGCCATGGCTCACGGGCCCAGCCGCTCCACGGCATGTGGGATCTTCCTAGACCGGGGCACGAACCTGTGTCCCCTGCATCAGCAGGCGGACTCTCAACCACTGTGCCACCAGGGAAGCCCGCCCTCCCACCTTTATGGTGCCTCAACTCTCAGGTGTGCCATCCCCCACCTCGCGCTTGTCACCTTGCAAGGACGTGGGTGGGAACCTGACGTTTCAGAGTATGCAGCAGGAATGCTTCTCAGGTTTTTAGATCTTAATTTTTTTTTCAACAAGGAGGGAATATTTCTTTTTAAGTTTTTTGGTTGCTTTAAAAGAATTAACACACTTTACATTTTAGCAGTTTTAGGTTTTCTGCTCCACAGAAAATGGAGTAGACGGTACAGAGAGTTCCCATTACACCCCACACATACACAGTTTCCCGGCAGTGAACATCTTCCATTTGTTATAAAGGGTGAACCAATGTCGATACATTGTAACTAACTGAAGGCCATGGTTTACATTAGGGTTCACTCTTGGTGGTGTACCATCTGTGGGTTTTGATAAATTCATGACATGTATCTACCATTGCAGTTTCGCTGCCCTAAAAATCCTCTTTGCCCCCCAAATTCGTCACTTCCTCCCACTAGCACCTGGCAACCTCTGATCTTTTACTGTCTCCATCGTTTTGCTTTTTCAGAATGTCGTAGAGCTGGTTAGAATCATACAGTGTTGGGCCTTAAAAGTTCCTCCGTGTGTTTTTATGCTTTTCAAGGTTTTTATTTTATTTATTTATTATAAATGTATTTATTTTTATTTATTATCTTTGGCTGTGTTGGGTCTTCGTTGCTGCGCGCGGGCTTTCTCTAGTTGCAGCGAGCAGGGGCTACTGTTCGTTGTAGTGCACGGGCTTCTCATTGCGATGGCTTCTCTTGTTGTGGAGCATGGGCTCTAGGCACGCGGGCTCAGTAGTTGTGGCACACGGCTTAGTTGCTCCGCGGGCTTAGTTGCTTCCCGGACCAGGGCTTGAACCCGTGTCCCCTGCATTGGCAGGCAGATTCTTAACCACTGTACCACCAGGGAAGCCCCCTTTTCAAGGTTTTTAGTTGTAATTTTGAGGGGAGTGGAATTAGGTGCTTAGAAACTTGTAGAAAGCTGTTTTTTAAAAATGTTTTGAATCATGTAATCCTAATAAGTACCATAACAATATGAGTGAAGATTACGTGTATTATATCCAATACCACATCTGGAGACCCTCTGCTGGCGATCTTCAGAGATAAATAAGCCTTTCGTTGAACATTTTCTGGCTGGGCACACAGCGGTGCTGGTCAGGGTGCACTATGCAGTAGCACTTGGTGGACTGCTGCTCCCGAGTCCTTTCCTGCTGGGGACGCTTTGGGGGACCCGTGACTTCCGGTGTTTGACTGAGCATCCCTTTGGCCCCAGCTTGTAGGAGAGCTCCTAGGAGAAAGTTTTTATTTTTATCATTTTTAAAAAATTTTTTTGGGCTCAACACATGGCTTGTGGGATCTTAGTTCCCTGACTAGGGATTGAACCTGGGCCCTCGGCAGTGAAAGCACGTAGTCCTAACTACTGGACATCCAGGGAATTCCCCAGGAGAAAGTGGTGATTCTGAGAAGGGGGAAGGGCGGGGCGGTGAATGAGGGTTGTCGCTGACGTTCTGGGAATGAGAAGAAGGTTCCGGGTCCGAGAGTCTGAGCGAGGTGGAGGGTGGACTGGCAGAGGACCTGCTGCCCATGGGGACGAGCGCGTGTCAGAACTTCTAGAGGGGCCATGGGAAAGTCGCAGAGAGCAGGCGCCAGCGGAACGATAAGCATGGTCTCTGCTGTGCCTTCTCTGGCCCTCCCTTCTCCTCCAACTCTTGGCCTTAATAAGATGATGGAGAAATAGGTCTTTTGTTCAGACTCTTATCAGAAAGGTTAGAAAATCAAGAACAAAAGCCACTCTGTTTGGAGATCTGACTGTGAAAAACCCAGCAAGCACTTCCTGAACTTTGCCCCCCTTGCCAGCTAGAGCAGCAGGTTTAATGGAGCATATCTGGGAGTGGGTTAAACTCCTTCCGAGACAGTGATGTACCTTCAGGTGGACACACAGGTTTTGCAGAACCTCAGCACGATGAGCAAATAGAAGGCCGCTGGAAGCTGATGACCGGTCTGGACAGAGTCCCCAGCGCTCCAATTCCATGGAAAGGCTGTCTCCACGAGCGCGCCCTTCCTGGAGCTGGTGTGAGGAGCCGGGCCCTGGCCAGGCTGGCATCTAAGGGTAAGAGGAGGCTGGACACCGGCCACGGTCTGCCCGGCAGCTTGTTCCCCTTGGAGGAACCATGACCAGACAGCGAGGGCCCCAGGCAGGCCTGGGCGCCCTCGAGCCCCTCACTGATGGCCGTGAGCGTGGGCTTCCTTGCCCACCCGCTGGCCCAGCGTTTGTTAACTGGTGAGGAAACACAGCCAAGCTTTCTAATGTGCACTTTGATTTCCACATGAGCTTATCCTAACGTGTAATTTGTAATCATTTTTAAGCTGGCGGCATAGACGGTGGGCTGGCAAAGCGAGGTCCTGTCTGGCGGCACATGGGGGCTGCTGGGGTGCCTCTCTGAGCCCTCGGTGTTCCTCCAGTGGACCACGCTCACAGACAGTTTTCTGCCCTCTTAAAAGGCAGGTGTTCACCCGCCTGCCCTAGAAAACTATCTGGCTTGCTGAAATTTATTCAGGACAGCCTGGACTTCAGGGGGTGAGCAGGTGGGTAGTGTCTGTGAAACGAGCTGGCCTCGTCCTCCCGGTCCCCTTGGCCCTCCCTGGGCCTTGCCCTGGGGTCCTCTTGGAGCCTCTGGGCCTCCTGCCCCTGGGGCTGCTCTGTGTGCTCCGGGTCCGGGCTTGCTTTAGGAATGAAGATGGAAGGTGAGCATGTCTGCTTGCGAGGTGTGGGCGCAGACGGGTTTGCATGGCATCTGCTTCGTCTTGCATTGTGAGGAATTACTTCCACCCTGAACCGTCCTCCAGGCCCCAGGGAGGGTTCCGGCTGCAGCCCGGCCTCAGCAGCATGACTGCGGGTGAGGTCAACAGGCCTGAGCTCTGGGCCTCCCCCAGCACCGAGCTGGCCGGCGCTTCTGCGCACCCCGCTGCCTGCGAGGACCTGGGGCCACACTGGCCAGAGGAGCCTCTGCTGGAAGTGGTGGTGGTTGGCTGTCTAAACGCTGACCTCAAGGTTCACGTTCTGTCCCCTACAGGAAGCCATCTCTGAGGCCCCCAGTCCAAGTCCAAGACCCGCCTGCTTCCGGGTCGAGGGCGAACAGAGGGGAGGGGAGGGCTCCGGGCAACTGTCCCTCAGCCCAGGAGCAGCGGGCCCAGCCTCGCACATGGTGGAGCCTGCCTGGCTCGGACAGTGTCCCTACCTGCAGGCTGAGCCCAGAGCCACCTGCTTGGTGGTGAGGAGAAGGAGAGTGGAGGCCTCTTGAAGGGATTTCCTGATTTCAGATTTTGAAATGAACGCTCTTTGTGAATGACTTAGTTGCCTGAGATTCCAAGGAATATCAGGTTTTCCCTTGGAAATAAGGAGCGGCATGGAATGCGTGCAGTAGGTACCTCGGGTGCCTTCCCTGCTTCATTCTGTCCTATGTGCAGGAGGCAGAGGTTGCACCACCTATGACACGTGAGCCCCCGGCTTTCAGGCTCTGTTCTCGTACCCGCCTGTGTGATCTCTAAGTCTTGAGTGGTTACGACCTCTTGAGATCAGCATTGCAGCCCCTGATCTACAAATGAGGCAGCACAGCTCGGATGCTCGAGAGCCCGGGCTGGGATCACACGGCTGCTGGACGGCAGACCGAGGATGGGCCCTGGGTCTCCATCGGGCGCAGGTGCGGAGACAGCCGTCAGGGACCCTCTAGCCCGCCCCCCCCATCTTGTGACACCAGAGCCCGAGGACAAAGTGCACCGTCTCCAGTTGCTTCTCTGAATTCTTACTTGTTTGCAAATTGTTAACCTCAGACTCTTTCGAGCATGAAAGGATGGCTACTTCTCCTAACCAATGAAGTTGCACTTCAGTTAAAGCTGAGATTGTACGTTGAAAATGGCCTGTTTAATGGTTCTTCAGTTTTAAGTTCATTTGGACAATCCACAAATATCTACTGTCTGCTGTACGCCCAGCCCTGTGCTCGGTACTGGTTCCACAAGAGTAAAAAAACAAAGATGTGTTTAGTGGGAAAGTAGACCTTTTTAAAATTAATTAATTAGTTTATTTTTGGCTGTGTTGGGTCTTTGTTGCTGCATGCGGGCTTTCTCTAGTTGCAGAGAGCAGGGGCTATACTCCTCGTTGCAGTGTGCGGGCTTTTCATTGAGGTGGCTTCTCTTTGTTGCAGAGCACAGGAGGGCTCTAGGCGCACGGGCTTCAGTAGTTGTGGCATGTGGCCTCAGTAGCTGTGGCCCATGGGCTCTAGAACGCAGGCTCAGTAGTTGTGGCACATGGGCTTAGCTGCTCTGTGGCATGTGGGATCTTCCCGGACCAGGGATCGAACCTGCGTCCCTTGCATTGGCAGGCGGATTCTTAACCACTGCGCCACCAGGGAAGTCGGGAAAGTAGACATTTAACCAGAAAACATAATTGGTCAAATAATTGATGAATTCGTATTTTGAGGTTAGACCATGTAATTGAATTTCAAAGCAATAGGTTGCACATACAGAGCAGATATTGATGGGGACTTTTTAAAAGGCATAGTCTTACACTATTGAACATTAGTTCCTGGGGTAGAATTCATTCCAGTGCTGGAAAGCCACAAAACGGGCTGTTCTGGCATGTATCCTGTGATGTTGGGATACTTTGTGTCCATTTTAGGCATATTTCTATAACTAAGTTTAAAAATCCCTCCAGTCATTTTTTTCTGCTCTTGAACATGTGCCTATTTTTCATTTTTGAAAATACTGAAGTGTTTTGTAACCTACTGTTTCTGCTTAGAAGTACAGGAGGAACATCTCCCACGTGCAAGCTCCCCCTCCACGGGGTCCTTTCCCAGGCCCCGGGACTGACTCTTGGCTCTCTCTCCTAGGCCAACGAGGTGACAGACAGCGCATACATGGGCTCCGAGAGCACCTACAGTGAGTGTGAGACCTTCACGGATGAGGACACAGGCACCCTGGTGCCCCCCGAATGCCTGGACGCCACGGAGGAGCCCGGCCACGGCGCCCTGCTGCTGCTCCCGGGCAGGTCTGTTCCTATCTACATGGCCCAGGGCTGATGGCAGATGGGTTCATGGTGGGGTTCATGTCAGGTGATCCAGAGGGGAGTGTGAGCCTGCGGAGGGCTGTGGTCCTGGGAAGAGCCTGCGCCCAGCTGACCGTGCAGCCTCCGTCAGAAGGTGCTCCTCTGTGCAGATAGGAATCCTAGGAGAAAACATTTGCTTGGTCTTTTGGATTTTGTCAACACAATTCTTATGACCCAGGGTGAGACACATTTCAAACGTCTTCATCTTTATGGCACCCTGACTCCATGCGTTTGAGGACAGTGAGGGGGAAGGGCCGGATCAGAGAGGCCAGGTGCCAGGTGGCCCATGTGGGCCCAGGTGACGGCTGGCGGTTCTGCCCTGGGCTCCCCGGGAGGCCTTGAAACTGGAATTTTGCTTATTTTATTTCGTTTTGTTTCTTGTTTGGCCCCTGCAGAGCTTGTGTTTTTCCTCCCTAATTGAAGATGGCATGCCTATCCCAAGCGCCAGCCCTCCCGCCGCCCCCCCTCCCAGCTCCTTCCCTGGTACCCTGGCTCCTGGTTTGTTCCTCACTCAAGGGTCATCACACAGTGTGTATCCTTTCTCCACCTGGCTTCTCCCACTTGGTATCGTGGCTGTGAGGTTTATCCGTGTCTGTGTGCACCGTTGTGAGTGGTTTATTCTGGTTATTATTGAGTGTTCCATTAAGAAGCCCACAGCTTCTTAATTTCCTGTCAGTGGGCATTGGGGCATTGGGTTTGCTCACAGTTTGGGTTTCATGAATAAAGCTGCTGCCTGACGTCTTTTGGTGGCCGGGTTTGTTCCTCGGTGGCGTAGGGCGCACCTGGGGCACAGGCTCCTCTGTAGGGGTTACTGCAGGTCAGACACTTACAGGTGGGGTTTGGTAGCTCCCTGCCTGCCAGCCGCCTGCGGGTTCCAGCTGCTCTCCATTCTCGCAGTGCCTGGCATCCTCCGCTTCTTCACGCCTGTTGTCTGAGGGCGCGCAGAGCAGGTGGTCCTCACTTGGGTTTCCCAGGTGCCTGACGGGGGCAGTGCCTTCCTTGCACTGGCTGCCCATGTGGAGACCCTCTCCTGTGCAGTGCCTGTTCCAGGCTTTCGCCCCTTTGTTGATTGCAGGACTCTGAAAGCTCTTCCGTAAAGGCCAGATAGTAAACAGGCTCGTGGCCCGATGGTCCCAGCACTGCTTCTCAGCTCTGCGTTGGCTGCCTCTGCAGATACAGGCGGTGGGTGGATCTGGCCTCCCCGGGTCCCGTGGGCCGTCTTTTCCTCTGTCTTCAATTGTGGGAGCTCTTCCTCTGTCTCAGGGGACTCCTTTGTCCCGGGTGTGTTGCAGGCATCTTTTTCCCCCTCTGCAGGTCATCTTCTCACTTTCCTGGGGTGTCTGAGAACAGACGTTTTAAATTCTACTATAGTCCAGTGTATCTGTTTGTCTTTTGTGGTTGGCACGTCTGTGTTCTGCTTCAGAGGTCTCTGCTTACTCCACATCACTGTGACGTTTACTTCTGCTTTTCTTTAACAGCTTTATTGTTTTGCCTTTGTTTTCAGATCTTTCATCTCCCCGTAAGGGAGTTTTTGTGCATGGTGTGAGGCAGGGGTCATTTTTCCTGTATAGATGTCCATTGGCTCAGGCTCGGTTTTGAAGCTCCCTCCTTCCTCATTGCCCCACAAGGTGGCCGAGTGCATGGGCTGTGCCGGACGCCCTGCTTGGCCCTGTGTGCCCTGTGCAGGTCAGCATCGCTCAGTCCTTCTGCTCCAGGCTTGTCGCCCGCTGGTCCTGCCGTTCGGCCATGTGCACCCTCCAGCCTCGCTCTACAAGGCTGCGTTGGCGCCTTTGGCCTTCACATTTCCATGTGGATTTTATATAGATTCAGCTTGTTAGTCTCTGGAAAAAAGTACCTGCTGGGATTTGGGTTGGGATTTTGCTGGATCTGTAGATTATTTGGGCAGAACCAACATCTTGTCCCTATGGGTCTCCCAGTCTTTGAACATAGTTTATTGCTCCATTTATTGGGGTCTTTCCTTGATTGCTGCGGTGTGGGGTGACCGTCTGGTAGGGAAGGGGGCGTCGTGCGTGTGCGTTCGGCCATTGGGCTCTGTTGGGACTGGAGGAACACCTTCCAGGGCCACCAGGGGCCAAGCCCAGCATGTGGAGATGGGAGCCCAGAGTGGCTTGCAGTGACCAAGGAGGGAGGTGTGAGGGTAGAATACGTGGGGCTGGGGTTGCCACGTTTGCTGTAGCTTCCTGATCAGTACTTCTTTTTTTTTTTTTTTAAAGAATTTATTTATTTATTTATTGGCTGCATTGGGTCTTCGTTGCTGCGTGCGGGCTTTCTCTAGTTGTGGTGAGCGGGGGCTACTCTTCGTTGCGGTGCGCGGGCTTCTCATCGTGGTGGCTTCTCTTGTCACAGAGCACGGTCCCTAGGCGCACGGGCTTCAGTAGCTGTGGCTCAAAGGCTCTAGAGTGCAGGCTCAGTAGTTGTGGCGCATGGACTTAGTTGCTCCGTGGCACGTGGGATCTTCCCGGACCAGGGCTCGAACCCATGTCCCCTGCATTGGCAGGCGGATTCTTAACCACTGTGCCACCAGGGAAGCCCCTGATCAGTATTTTTTAAGGTAATAGGTAAGTTCTTTTAAATTTCTTTAAATATTTATTTGGTTGCACTGGATCTTAGTTGTGGCTTGCGGGCTCCTTAGTTGTGGCTCGTGGGGTCCTTAGTTGTGGCATGTGGACTCTTAGTTGCGGCATGCATGTGGGATCTAGTTCCCTGACCAGGGATTGAACCTGGGCCCCCCGTATTGGGAGCGTGGAATCTTAACCACTGCACGACCAGGGAAGTCCCTAAGTTCTTTAAATTCAATTTGGGTCAAGTAATCGAAGTTGAAGTGTCAAATCCGGGAAACCATTATGAGGTCTTAGTTTTTCTCTGGAAGTTTCTAGGCTCTGGGCTGTTTTGCTGCTTAAGCAGTGACTTGCCCTCAGGATTCGTTGAAGTCACGTTGGTGTCAAATGAGAAAATCTTGAATTGCCACGAGGTTGCCGATTATAATCTAAAGTCACCCGTTTTCTGTCGATGCGGTGCGTGACGGCTGCGTGGTCTGCCCCGGGTCCCCAGCACCAAGTGCACATCCCCTCTGACATGAGGACAGGCGCTGGGCTCCTCGCCGCCCACGGGCGTCCACGTCCGGCCCATGGAGGCTGTGCATGCTCCCTCTCACTTCGGGGGCAGCTTCCTCTCCCGGGGTCTGGGCACGTGGATCCACGAAGCAGCTCATCTACAGAAACAGAAAGTAGCTTAGTGTGAAATGGTGTCTGTCGGAAGGAATCATTTCTTCCTGTCTCTGTGTGAGAAGGTGAGGGCTGGTAGCAGGCGGGAGGCAGTCAGACTCGGACATGCTCTTCAGAGAGCAGTCGGACGTCCCGAGACCATTGGGGTCAGGTGCCTCGGGGAGCTTGCGCTGCGTGTCGTGCGACTGTGGGTCTGGGCAGCGGACAGAGACTGGCCCCTCCTGACTACCAGGCCTGCCCCTCTGAGGGGGCAGCTCCTGCGCCTGCTCACAGGATCTCGGGGGGTGGGGGGGTCTGTGGTGAGGTGGTGGCCCGGCCCCGGGGCAGGGAGCACCTGCCGTGTGCCCGGGTTGCAGCAAACACCAGATTCGAAAGCTTATTATGACACAAGGACATAGATAATATAAAGATCTTGTTTTGGAAGTGATGATTTTGGATATGTTGGGCCAAGTGAAGTACATTGTTAAAGTCAGTTTCACCTGTGCATTTACCTTCCCTAGCGCGGCTGTTAGGACACGAACTCACACGTGTGGTCACTGCACGTTTCTGCTGGAGGCTCAGGTCACGCCCGCGGCTCTGGGGGTGCCCGCAGCCCATGTCGGCAGCTGACACTCGTTTGCCTCTGCAGGTCCCACCTGCACAGCCAGTCGGTCGTCACGGTGATAGGAGGCGAGGAACATTTCGAGGACTATGGTGAGGGCAGTGAGGCGGAGCTGTCCCCAGAGACCCTCTGCAACGGGGAGCACGGCTGCAGAGACCCCATCTTCCTCACCCCCAGGTAAGAGCCCTGCACCAGGGCCCTGTCTCTTCACGTTCTGTTAAGGGGGAGGGTCTCCTTTTGGTTCACAGAGAACTTGTTTTATTCACTGTAATATAATTGAACAATGCCACAGTCAAAACTTTAAGATTTCTATCGGGATAACAGTTGGCTGTGGTTCCTCTCATCGGTTATGGTCCCAGTCACTCCCCGTTTATGCGGCCTCAGCCGAGTCCCAGGGCACAGAGCTGGGGTTGGGAAACTCGGCTTTACCGGTTTCACAGTGCTGTTTGTGGATCACATTGTGGTTTGCATTGAGCTTGAGGGAGGCTGTGTGTGTGAGAGAGTGTGTGAGTGTGTGTGTGTGAGAGTGTGAGTGTGTGAGAGAGTGTGTGTGTGTGAGTGTTGAAACCCTGCTCAGCAATCTCAGTCTTGCTGTGCAGGTGGACCTCGTCCGTCACTTCCCTTTGTGTTTTTTACTCACTGAAGGCCTGTGGAAGCCCTGCATCATTTTTCCAAAGCCATTGCTTGCACCGTGTCTCTGTCACATTATGGTAATTCTAACAATATTTCAGACTCTCATTATAATTGTTTGTTGTGGGAATCTGTGATCAGCAATCCTTGATGTGACTGTTGCAAAAGGATTACAGGGCTTCCCTGGTGGCACAGTGGTTAAGAATCCACCTGCCAGTGCAGGGGACACGGGTTCAAGCCCTGGTCCGGGAAGATCCCACATGCCGCGGAGCAACTAAGCCCGTGTGCCACAACTACTGAGCCTGCGCTCTAGAGCCCACGAGCCACAACTGCTGAAGCCTGTGTGCCTAGAGCCCGTGCTCTGCAACAAGAGAAGCCACCACAACTAGAGAAAGCCCACGCACAGCAACAAAGACCCAATGCAGCCAAAAATAAATAAATAAATTTAAAAAAAAATAGAAGGAGCTCCTCTCCCCAACAGGGAGCAGCCTTCTACTTAGGAAAAAAAAAGGATTACAGCTCCCTGAAGGCCTAGATGCTGGTGAGCATTTTTTAGGAATAAAGTATTTTTTAGTTAAGATATGCATGCACATGGGTTTTTTCTTTTCTTTTTCAATTTTTAATATTTTAATTTTTTGGCTGTGCCGTGTGGCTTGCGGGATCTTAGTTCCCCGACCATAGGGCGAACTCGTGTCCCCTGCAGTGGAAGCGCAGAGTCCTAACCACCAGGGAATTCCCTACGTTGTTTTTTTAGATGTGATACTTTTACACACTTATTGGACTACGGTACAGTGTAAACGTCACTTTTACATGCACTGGAAACCAGAAACTTCGCATAACTCACTTTATTGCACCACTCACTTTATTACGACGGGCTGCAGGTGACCCCGCAGTATCTCCAAGGTCTGATTGCACGGTGTTATCATCTGTGGTGTCCTCGGACCTTATTCCTCTTGCTGAAAGTTTGTGCCCTTCGACTGGCCTCTGAGGGAGGTTTAACATCACAAATGGCTCTTCGGATTCATTTTCTTATAATCACCTGACATCCCCAAACTCTCTGGAAAATTCTGGCTTTGAATAAACTCAACTGTGGCATCTAAAGGGCAGGACCTTCGCTCATGGAGCTGGCTCCTGCCCAGCTCTCCTGCCTCTTCGGGCTGCAGGAGGCCCTGGGAGAAAGCACCCACCCTTGTATCCAGTCAGGGAATGTGCCGGCCCCTCGGGGAGACCCTGGCCTGGTTGGACAGCCTGCACATGTTAGTCACCTCTCCCTTCTGCCCCCAGTTCTGGAAATTCTCCAGCTGTGCCAACAGCAGAGGCCAAGGGCCTGGGCGGGGGCCAAGCCAGCAGGGCTGCCTGACATGCTCCAAGTGGTGCTGCCCCGAGGGCCAGGCTGTGGCCCCGCGGGGCGTGTGTCTCCCCATTTTGGTGATCTCTCCATTTGTTCCGTGTGTCCATCCCTTATCCCTTGTCCACAGGGTTACTTCTGCGCTACGATTGATGTCTCACTTTAACTTTTCTGTAGCCTGGGGTCCTAATGCCCACAAGACGTGGCTGCCGTTACCACTGCCCTGAAAGCCCACTGAGATTAGGTCGTGGCGCGGCTGACGGAATTATGAGTTTTTAACGAAAGTCATCCACCCATAGTTCTTGGTTCTGGTGGTTCTTAGACAGTTACTGACAGGGTTACAGAACAGAAAGTAAGACGCCCCCTGGCCGTGTGCGTTGCTCTCGCGCTGATGGGTTTCTGACAAAGGAGGATGCAGTGTGTCCAGTCATTTACTTCTTGGCAAAGCAGGGTTCTTCTTTTACAACGAGCCGCGGGGCTGCGCCTGTGTCTTCTGAGAGCCTGACCAGGAAGGTGCCCCCAGCCGCTGCGCCGGGTGTTGCAGGTCCCGGAGGTGGTGCTGAGGGTGACAGAGGCCTCCGCGGCATCCGCCTGACAGCTCACCCTGTCAAGCCACCCGATCCTTGCTCTCTCCTGAAGCCACACCTCTCGTCCCTCCAGCGCTGACCCGCTTGCCGCCAAGCTGCACAGCATCCTCACAGATGAGGCTTTTGAGTTTTACTGTAGCCAGTGCCACAAACAAATCAACCGCCTTGAAGATCTTTCTGCTCGCCTGAACGATCTTGAAAAGAATAGGTAACCTATGCGGTGCCTGGCCTGCTCTCTGTCCCGGGGGAGGCAGACTCCGCCTGCCCGCAGCCGCCCCCACTGCCCTGGCCCAGGTGCCACTCCCTATGCCTGACCCACTCCGGGGGCTTCCTCCAGAGGCCAGGCAGACGTGCGGACAGCGGACTCTTCGGCCCCTGCCCTGCATGTGCTGTTCCTGGTCTGGTGCCCTGTGTGCATGCCACGGTCCAGTCCCCTGCCTCTGCCCTGCCTGAAGACAGCCAGCATGTGGGAGAAAGTCTGCTTTTAGAAAGATGTGCTTTCTCCGTTTTACTGAAAGATGTTTGAAGTTGAGAGTCACAAGAAGTAGCGCTGGGAAATCTAAAGTGAGAGTAGGTCTTCAGTGCAGACTTGTGAGCAGCTTTCAGGGGCATCAGTTTGAATTGGGGTGAGCCCTGCCCTGAGCTGGTCTCTGGGAGGCTGTGCAGCCTCCGTCAGCGGCAGGGTCACTGGCTGCTCTGTCCCCGGAACGGGCCGCTGGGCCCAGCATGCCTGCTGCTCTTCGCCTCTCCCTCTCCTCATCTCCTGGTTCCCTCTCCGCCCCCTGTACCCACCCCTAGTCAGAGTCCCAGGAGGAGGCACCTGGCTCCTCACAGCCTCACAGGCTCCAGCTGCAGGAAACATTTTGGGTGGTTTGCACATGCTGACGTGTCCGTTAGGCAGATTGCTGATTAGCTTGTTGTGTGGAGGAGAGATGGGCCCTCGTGCGGCGCACCCCACAGCCCCAGCCCAGCGGAGGGAGTGAGGGACTGCCAGGCGCTCTCGTGCGGGCAGCAAGGAAGGGGTGGGACGTGCCGACCAATGCTGTGGGCTCCCATGCAACTTCCTGGAGGCAGGGGCCTTGGACTGGTGGGAGTTGCATGGAAGGTGAACCATCCTAATGGTTTTGGCACGTACGCTTCCTCCTGGGCCTGCCATCTGCCCTTGGGGCTTGGCCTCGGCCGCTCAGTCTGCCTGGTGGGCCCTGCGACCGACAGCCAGTAGTGTCCTGGTGCTGGTTCAGCCCTTCCTCCTGCACTTGTGTAGCTCAGAGCTTGGGCCGGGGTCCAGCCAGCACCTGGTCAGGTGAGGGATAGGGCTGATCGGCAGCTTCAGAGGGGAGCTGGGGGTGCCAGCAGCGCTGAGGAGAACTGGAGGTGCTCTTTGAGGAGCTTCTAGGGAGACCAGGGATTCCAGAGACCCGCCAGCCTCCCTTTACCCCTCGTGTTCAGCCCAGTGCTCAGCGCTCCAGGATGGCTGCTCAGCCTGGCGGGGATGGTCATTTGTCCTTCCCGAGCAGGGACCTGCCTTCCCCGTATCTCAGCTCTCACCCTCCAAAGGTACTTGATGTGGAAGTGATCTTTTCCCACATTGAGGACCTGCCCCAGGGTGGCCACAGTCGCCTCTGCTAGGCTTTGTGGGGCAGAGAACAGACTGGGACGTGGCCGAGTCCAGCCAGCAAGTCCAGGGGGTCTTACATCCAGTTTCAGCCACCTGTTCCCTAAGACAGGCACTAACAAGGGGGTTAATATGCCATCAGAACCCTCGTTATAATCAGTCAGGAACTTTCCCCTACACACTCACTTAAGGAGATGTGAATCTTACCCATTGGTTTCCATGGAATTGCCTCAAAATAAACGTATTTGGTCATGCTTTGTGGTTGGTGAAAGGTGATTTAGTCCAAACCATATTCAGACAGCAGCTTTGACGTCTGATATAATTTCTACCCATTGAACCTCAGAACATACATATTTTCCACATACCTGGGAGCCTCTGTAAAACGGTTCATTTTGTAGAAACTGAGAAGTCTGCTTTACCCAGAGGTGCAAGTGATGCCAGCCCCTGAAGGGGGACAGTACATTGGACAGTGGTCTGTCCATTCCTGTTGCTTCAGGATGAAATTAGACTTGTGTTAAAATGTACAGCATCAGTCAGGGCCCAGTCAGAAGAGGGGACCACACAGTAACTTGAATAGGAAAGTTTAATAGAGAGTGACCATTGTAACTGGGGATTGGAGTAACGTGGCATTGGCTGGGAGGAGGGCTCAGGAGGAGACGGGGCAGCAGCTGTGAGGGAGGAGCAGCGGCTCACGCCACCGGCTGCAGAGGGCGTAGCCGCACCTTCTAAAACTTGCAGAAGTCTGCCCTCTGGCTGCCAGGAAAGCTGTTCGCTGGGAGGGGTCTCACCAGAGGGACTTCCACCACGGAACTGCCTGGGAGATGTCAGGTGCAGCCGCCCAGGTGGGATTCGGGAGTGTGGGGATCAGGGCCCAAGTTCAAACCCTGGTGCTGCCCAGGCAGCAGGGGCACCTGGAAGCAGGCCCTTTCCTGGGTCCCTGTCCAGCACCCTCTGCCGACGCAGCATCACAGGGGCCAGGAGCTGGTAGGCAGGACGAGCCCAGAGCGGAGAGGCAGTGCATTGGTAATGGGTACAGTTGCTGGTGATGGGAACAGCGTGTCTCCCCAGACAGGGTTTCTTGCCCCAGCCTGAGGGGGTCACAGTAACTGATGGGTGTGTGTCTGTCTGGCCATGACGCTATTCTTGTTCTCATAGGTTGAAGCTAATAGTTTAGCAGTTAAATTGGGAAGCAAACGAGGGGTACGGTAAGCTTGGCCCTTTTGCCACTGCAGGTGATCACGTCAGGCAGGCGACATGGGGCTGACTTTCCTGTCCTGAAACGGCGGCAGGAAAGCTTTGCGAGTCTCTGCGCAGCTGGGCTGGTAGAGGTTGAAATGTCAGTGCCAGAGTTAAAACCGACAACAGAGCTTTCCTGTACACACGGGTCCGTGTCACGCCTCGTGTGGAGCCTCTGACGGCCGAGCCTTTGGAGGGCAGTGTGGCTCCAAAATCACTTGGGACGTGCCGTTGGCCGATGGCTCGAACCCAGCGTGGCCACCTGTGGGTCCAGGCGCTGGGGCCAGCCCCTGAACCGAGGCCCGGTTGTGACACCATCTGAAACTTCCTTGAGGGCTGGGACTAGGTGACAGGCCCCTGAGATTGTCCCCATGCCCCTGAATGTTTTGCTGAGCGAGCCTTTCCGTGCATGGAGCTGGCCTCGGGAGCGGGTGCTGCATGCCTGCGGACGCGCCCCCGCCGCATATCTCTTTCGCCTGAGTTTCCTGCTTCCTCTCCATCCTCCCTGTCTGTTCTCTGACACCGTTTTCCTGTTTGTTTTGATTTCTGCAGTCCATCGAAGCGGCTCTCCAGCAAGAAGGTGGCAAGGTAGGAACCCTGGGTGCCCACTGAGGTGCTCTTCGGAAATGTGTCACTGGTCACAGTGCTTTAAAAACTTGTTTAGAAGATACTATTTTCAAGGTATTTTTTTAAAAACTTCTGTAAGTACTTCTCATGGTTTGGGATTGAAAATAGTTTGAGGGGACGGGTTGTAAAAAGAATTTCCAAAGCAGTAGATTTGGACCTGTGTTTGTGGCTGGGGGTCCGTGGTGGAAACTTTTGTCCTTCCTCCTGTTCAGTTGAGTCTTTCCCATGTGAGGGCTGTAGGCTAACCTGGTGGGGAGGGTCAGCGGGGCCCTGATGCCACAGCCCAGGTCTGGGTCCACCTCCTTCAAGGGCTGTGTCCTTTCCACCCCTGCTGGCTCCCCAAGGTGAGGAGGAGGTGGGGGAGCTCCTAAAGAACAAGCGTTGGTGACCACTTCTTCATTTTTCAGTTTTGGGAGCTGCCCACTGGCTTCCTGCAGTGAGAGGTAACAGCACATGCGTTCACCCCTCCTGCCAGGCCTGCTCTAGGCTTGTAAGATGCCAGCATTCTTCACAGGAAGCCATGTGATGTGTTACTGGATTTCCTTTCTAAGATGAGTTGTTGCTTCTCCTGGAAGCAGTGATTGCCTTTATGTTTTTATTTGCGTCGTCTTCTGCCTCCACTGCCTGGCCCTGCTGCTGCCTGGATGGTTACCCCAGAGCCCTAACCCTCTCCGCCCATGCTGTGTGGGCTGCACGGCTGCAGCCCCGCATGTCTCCCTGATGCCGGGTCCTGGTGTCTGTTTCAGGTGTTGGATCATCTCGCCCCCTGAGCCCCTTCTTCCTTTTTTTAATCTCCATTTTCTATCTAGCACGTCTTCTGGTAGCTTCTTGAGAAAAGACGTGCCCAGGAAATAAATTTTCGAGCCCTTGTTGGACATTTTACTCCTGTGGTTTGGCTTGGGGTGGAATTCTAGATCAGAAGTGGTTTCCGTTTAGCCATTTTGTAGGCGTTGCTCATTACCCTCTAGTCCTGGTGCTGCTGCAGGACAGTCTAGTGCTTGCTGGTTTTTCTTTGTGACTGCTTTTCCCTTCTGGAAGCTTTTAAAGGTGTTCTCCCTGTCCCTGAAGCTCAGACATTTCAGGACGAATCTTGTGCGTCCTTTCCACCGTTAATTACGCTGGGTGGAGTGAGAGGCGTGGTTCCAGTCTGGAAGTGCCTGCCCTGAGCTCTGCGGGCCTCTCTGGAGCGCGATCCAATCCGCAGAGCCCTCCACCCCACCTCCTGGTCCTGGAGCTCCTACCCCCGGAGCCCCTGCCCCCAGAGCCCCTGCCCCCGGAGCCCCTGAAGGCGGCCTCTCTGCTCTGGCTCCCCCACCCTTCTCTGAGCTCTGTCTCTCTTGCTAGAGGTCTCCCTCTGAGTGGGGTCCTGCCTGGCTGCCGACCTTTAGGTAGTTCATAGGCTGTGGTGCAGCCCGTTTGGAGGCCTACAGTCCTGAGTTGGGTGCCTGGTGGGGGCCGCCCCTCCCCCATCTGAGCTCCTCCCTTGCTGCCCCTCAGGTGCCAGCCGCCTGGGCTCTCCTCCAGCGTCCAGCGCCCTGGACATCTCATCTCTGGCCCTGTCTACCCTTCTGCTTCTGTCCCTGAGAATGTAAAACACTTGTTTTTCTTTTCCTATCATGTTAAGGGCTGAGGGTCCAGGGGAAGCAGAGGTGAATCCAAAGGCCCACCCTCCTCACTTGCTCTCTCCATCACCTGGGTCTTGGGAGCGTCCTAGTAATTCCAGACCATGCTTTGATCATAGTTTCAGCATTCCCTTCTCGCTCCACCTTTTACCCAAACAGCCTGCAGCTGGTGAGACTAAGGAAGCTGACTTGCCCTCCCAGCTCCCACACCAGGCACGTGGACGGACCTGGAGCCACCAGGGCCCGGCTCCTCGGCTTTTGGCCTCTGTGGCTGCTGCTCTGAGAATTCATCTTCCTTTGCAGATACCCTTTGGTATAAAAAAGGCCAGCCTGCAGGTGTTTGTTGTTTACAAACAGGCATCGTCTGCAGTCGGTGCACACACACACACACACACACACACGTGCACTTTGAATCTGCTGCTCTTCTGCCCTTAGAACTGCCACCAGCCTTCCAAGGAAACTCAAAATGCTTGCTGTCATTTCACTCTTGTGGCATCGTTTCAGCCCAGGCCTCTGACCTGGCTGTGTGCTCGCCTGGGTGCAGATGGCTCTGGGATCGGTGTGCCTGCGGACCTCACAGGGCGACAGCAGCTCTGGGGTCGGGTGACATTTAGGGTGCAGTCCCGTCCACCGGCCAGGCTTGACCTGACTCCCTTTGGGGTGGATCAGGCATCCCCCCCCTTCCCCTGGTAGGTCTCCTGAGCCAGGATGGGCTTAAATAAACAAGCTCCCCACCCACCATGGGAGGAACCTTGGCTTTACCCTAAGGTGGCTACATGCTGTGGCCACACACCCTAACCCCAGATTCAGCCCTTGGAAAATGCCTGAACCACTGGTCTGAGATCAGGATCGGGTGTCAGCCCCCAGGCTTTGGACCCTCCTCAGGGTGGTCTCTGGGTCTGGGGTGGGCAGCTTCCTGCCCCAGGAGTGGCGTCAGGAGCTCATGTTTAGGTCAAGGTCATGGATGTTAAGAGGAGTGATTAGATGGCAACTTGATGGCCTGTCCTCCCCTGGCCCTTGGGATTCAGCGCCCTCGGGGAATTGAGTGAAATCCACAGAAATGCCCGGATACATACCCCCCAGGGCACAGTTGGGGATTGTGGTCTACAGGGATAAAGATGCCCTTCCTTTTTGTTCCCCTGAGAATGTTTCTGGAAAAGAAATGTAAGGAATGCGCAAGCTCAGTCAGTGCTGAAAAGGAAATAGAACTTCATATGTTTGGTAAAGAGACTGTACTTTTTTTTTTTTTTTTTTTTTTGGCCATGTGGCACGGCATGCGGGATCTTATTTCCCCAACCTGGGAACGAACCCGGGCCTGCTGCAATGGAAGCACAGAGTCCTAACCACTGGACCACCAGGGAAGTCCTGAGAGTGTACTTTTTAACAGTGTTTTATTGAACTGGCTCTGTGCTGTGTCCTTAGTTATGTGACAGCCTGCAGATCCCCATTCTGTAGCATAGGGAGGGTGCCTAGCTTCCTCAGGGTCACACAGTGCTGAGGCTCCTCCCGCATGTGTCAGAGCCAAGGGCTTGTGCCCTTTTCACGGTCGGTCCCCAGAGGCCCCGAGTGTGTCTTGCCATGGCTGCCCCAGGAGGTGTGCCTGGAAGTCAGAGATGGAGAGGACGTGGAAGTCACGGTGTGCCCACAGGTCATGACCTTGAATTAATGTTTCACGGCTCGGGGAAGATGAGATTATTTCATATCACTGAGAGGAGTGACGTCCTGTTTTACTGCCCAAGTTCAAAGTATCTTGGCCCAGTAGCTGGTAGGGAAGAAGGCCGGGCCCGTTGGGCTCCACAGACTATGGCCTGTTCACCCAGCCCTCGGTAGCGGTGTCCTGCCCGGAGTCCCCTTCGGTGGAGACCTGGCCGCCTACTGCTGGGTTCTGCTTTCCAGACCAGCCTGGGGGTGTTCATGTGTACAGGCCTGGCCGCGAGGTTGTCCCTCTTCTTTGCTCTCCTTGCTCTGCTGAAGGACCTTCTCTGGACAGGGCTGTCGCTTATTCTCCCCAGGCACCTGCATCAGTCAGGGGCCCTGACCATGGAGGCCCTGCAGGACCCTCCCCCAGACCCTGTGGAGGGCATGGAAGAGGACATTGCTGACAAGGTAGGCCCTGGATGGATGGCAGGGCCGGAGGGCCACGTGTGGACAACTCAGCGGCCTCAGGCGCAGGCCCCCAGTGGGTGTGTTGAGTGAGGTGCGCAGAGGGCACAGTGGGAGGTGGTGATGGCGCCGGCAGGGCTGCGCCGTCCACCAGCCCTGATGATCTCTGGCGGGTTTCCTCGGGTTGGCAGCTGCGGGGTGAACAGGAGAGGTGTCACGTTGTCCACGGAGAGGTGCCGGCCAGGGAGGCGGGAGGGCCCGCAGCCTGCAGTGATCCTAGAGCCAGGACGGTGGAATCGGCCACTCCTGAGAGGTTGCTGGGGCAGGGCAGCCTCCCTGTGGCCAAGGCCCTGGGGCTCCAGGACCAGCTCCAGGAAGTGCAGGGGCAGGGTGGCCACAGACACCCCCCCCCCCTTCTCTCCCACCTCCTTCTGTCCCCCTCGCCCACCTCACCCTGCCCCCCGCCTCCTGGACCTCTTCAGCACCTCCAGCATCTCAGCTCTGCAGAGCCCTCCCCAGCTCTCCGGTCTGGCCGTCATGCCTCCCACCACCGCCTGGTGAGCGTGTCTGGCTCCAAACCCCGGGCCTTTCTGTCACTCGAGTCCCCAGTGTGAGCTGCCTCTGTGGGCTGTGTCTGGCGGAGCAGTGGCCCTGCCTGCGGCCCCTCAGCTCCTTTGCCTTTGAGGGTCGAGGGCACCACGTGCTCCCCCGTCCTCACTGGTGCCCATAGGGCTGCGCTGCCTCGTTCACAGGGCGTCTCCAGCCTGGTGGGCATGGCCTCCAGGACAGTCTGCGTGGGGCACACACTCTCCCACCCCCTTGATTCTCAAGCCACCATCTTGCTCCCCAGGTTGTCTTCCTGGAGAAGCGAGTGTCAGAGCTGGAAAAGGACACAGCTGCCAACGGGGAGCAGCACAGCCGGCTGAGGCAGGAGAACCTCCAGCTGGTGCACAGGTGAGCGCAGGCCTCTTAGTGCCTGTGGGATGTGATCCGCCCCCTGGTCGTTCTCCTCCCTTCAGGTTCTCTGAGCACCACCCTCCATTCAGCTGCTGGATGGTGTGGGGTGAGCAAGGCTCCTGCTGAGGGCTCTCCCCAGAGGAAAGGGCGAGGGAGGGACCTCTCAGGAGAAGCCGGGGCCAACACCCGGCCTGCAGACTGCCCGGCTGGAATTCCCGTCTGGGGGTGTCTGGCGTGTGCCCCGCTTCCAAGACCTGTCCTGACCAAAGGTGCGCCCCCCACCCCACGCAGGCTTGCTTCATCTCCGCATCTCCTGGACAAGGAAACCAAGGCAGCAAGTCGGGGCTCTGGGGTGGGGCCAGTGCCTCCAGAGCTCCCTGTGCTCGGGTACTTGACCCACCCTTGAAGCATGGGGTCCTCGTGGGGCGTAGCAGTGCGACCGAGCCCCACGTGGGAGCCGCGAGCTCTGAGTTAGAAATAACAGCCGTGTGGAAGTCGGTGTAAGGAGGGAGCAGGTGCTTCCCCATCTCCTGTTTTGCAGACTTTTCACAGCACGTGGTGTGGTTTTCGGTGTTGGGAAGCTGGTCACGCTGTGTACCTCACCCCAGTTTGCAGCACTTCTCCTGCAGAGGACAAGGGACTTGGCCTGTGTGCAGCCAGAGCCTTGGGGTCACAGACCCCTTTCAAGAGGTCCAGAGGCTGGGAGCACGGCATGTGTTCTGGGCGAAGCCTGGCCCTGCCGAACCCTCTGCAGCCCCAGGCTCTTCACCCTCCGAGCACTTGTACCAGCGCTGGACACGGGCCCCGAGGCTCTGGGGGACGCTGGCCTCCTGTTGTGGCTTCTCCTGGGCGAGATGGGCCTTCATGACCTGTCCTCCTGCTCTTGGAGGCTGGGAACCGGGATGTGCCATGCTGTCCTGGGCGCCTCGCCCACTGCTATAACAGAGCAGCAGAAGCACGTTCTCCTGTGTGGTCGAGACCCTGGCTCGGGGGCCACCTGCTTTCCTGCCCTGCTTTCCTGCTGCAGAGCCAGAGGTGGGGTCGGCCCTGCTTATGCGAGGGCTGGGGCTCCAGTGCTGCGTCTGCAGGACGTTCCTTCCTCCCTCCCTGTCCTTGTCCAGGGAGATCTGGATGGGCCACCAGACTCCTTTCTCCAGCTGACTGGAGGTTCATCTCATCCAATGGGCACTTATCAGTTATCCACGTTTGTGGTGGAAAGTCCACACTCTGTGCCCTGCCCGGCCACCCAGCCCCAGGGCCTGTCATATCCACTTCCTGGGGCCGTTTCTGCCAGTGTTTGCCTAAGTTCCCCTCAAGCACACACTCCTGCCGCTGCTGCTTGGCGTTTCCCAGCCGCACTGACCCGCCGCACTGCTCTCCTTTCCTTCCATCCTAGGAGTTCCACCTGCTTTCTCCACATCTGGTTTCTTATTCTCCAGATCCTGCATTTCTTCTTTGCTTACTCGCTTTCTGAGCAGATGCCTTACTCGCAGCATAGGAGCCAGGCTTCCTAAGGCCTCACGTGTCTGAAAACGGGGTTGTGTCGTGTCCCCCCTCCACCCCCACCATCGATAGTGTGGCTGAGTCTGGGATCCCGCTGGGAGCTGGGTCCCTGGAAGCCGGCTCCGCTGCCGTCTGTCCTGTCTGTGACCAAGGCCCTGGCACCGTTGGGCTCACTGCTCTGTGGGGTCCTATTCTCTCCCAACGCTGTGAGGGTCTCTTGTTGTTTCCTGTGCTGAGGGCACGTGGCTTCCAGCCTTTAAATCTGGAAAACGTGTCTCTCAGAGTTTCTTCCATTTTCTTGTCTGTCTGAACTTCTGTTAATCAGATATCAGACCTTATGGACCTTCCTTCTCATTTTCTTTACTTCCTTATTCTCTAACTTTCTCATTATTCTTTTTTTCTGTGTAATAATCTTTGGTTTTCTCCTTCAGTTATTCTATTGAATTTAAAATTTTGTCGTGTCATAGTTTTAATGGCTAAGAGTTACTTCTGTTACCCATTCCTTCTGCGACAGCTGCTCCTGTTTCGTGGACGTGGTGTCTCAGGCCTCTGAGGGTGATAGTTACAGGGCTTCTGTGGTGTTTCCCACATGATGTGTGTCTCCTTCAGGTCGTTTTTTCTGTTTGCTTTGGCCACTTTGTATTAAGAGCTTTCCTGTGATGTCTGGTGGTCTTTGGCTGTCTGTTCACTCTTGGGTGCGAAGCACCAAAAAGCAGATGAGAAACCCTGTGTGGACGGGCAGCTTGGAGGCATGGGCTCCGGCCGTCCGCAGGCAGGGCCCAGAGCCCTTCTCTGTGGTTTGGTCCGTTCCTGTCTCCTGCACTTGGGAGTGGTGGTCTGGGAAGAGGCCAGGGTCAGGGTCCCCATGTGTACCTTCCTTCTGTCCCCATGTTCTTGCTATACCTGCCTTCGAGTCTGCCATGGCTGACCTGGGTGGGGTGGGTCTGTACACCATGTCTCCAGCCTGGTATCAGTATCAGTGCAAGGTGCCCTGGGGCCAGGCACCTGGTGGGCTTGTGCCCGGGAGGGTCTCCTGCCCACACCCAGCGAGCAGGAGGCAACTGTGGGTGCAGGCCAGGATGGGGGTAATTCCCGCTGGGAATGATGGGGACTGTCCTTGCCGTCAAGACTGTGCCGTGGTCTGAAGGCCAGTCACCCTCTGTGAGGTGAAGGGTGTTTGGGGGGATACATGTCCTGCTTCAGAACTGCCCTTGACTAGAGCTGTGGGCCATTGGGGGACATCTCAGTGCCTTCCTGTCCCCGCTCTGGGCAGGGCCGCTCTCTCCAGCTCTGGGCTCAGCATCTCAGGACGGTTTCTCCCCTCCCCCTCTGCCTTGCAGAGCCAATGCCCTGGAGGAGCAGCTCAAGGAGCAGGAGCTGAGAGCCTGCGAGATGGTCCTGGAGGAGACACGCAAGCAGAAGGAGCTCCTGTGCAAGATGGAGCGAGAGAAGAGCATCGAGATCGAGAACCTGCAGGCCAGGTGGGGGAGAGGGGGGACGGGGGACCCGCGGGCCAGGTTGGGGAGAGGGGGACGGGGGACCAGCAGGTCAGGTGGGGGAGAGGGGGACGGGGGACCCGCAGGTCAGGTGGGGGAGAGGGCTGATGAGAAATGCAGCTGGGCTCTCACCACAACAGCTGGCCACCCCAGGAGGGCACGATACCTAGGAACAAATTTGATTTTACGAACAGTGGAAAAACCTTTATGAAGAAAACTAAAAAACTCTACTGAAGGCCACAAAGTATTTGAAGGCAAAGACTGACACTACCTGGATGTCACTTTCTCTAATCTTTCTCCAGTGGATGCTGCACCATTCAAAATCAAAGTCAAACTCTTTTTTAAGGCAACTTGAGAAAATTACCCCTATGCTCCCCTGAAGGCATAAGCCTTAGATAAGTCAGGAAAAGGGGAGCATACTCTGTGCAGACACCCCACAAAGGCACAGGAGTGGACCAGGAACTCAGGCTGGGGGCGTCCACTCACGGTGACACGTGGATCTCAAACGTTGTTTGTCAAAGAAAACCAGCAGAGAACCTAGATGTCCACAAGTTAACAGTCACCTGGAGGTTCCTGCTCATCCTCCCTCTGCAGAGCTCGCTTCTGGGTGGGTAGTGACGGGGAGGCGGGTATTTCACAGTCTTCTTAACTGAATGGGCACCACTCTCAGCCTTCATCGTGCAGCCATTTTACCCTCGTGAATGACAACTCTAGGCTCTTTAGCATGTGTTTACCTCCAGCTCTTAAAGCTGGAAAATACATTTTGACACATTTTCAACAGTGGGAGGTGGCAGGAGGGACTGCACACAGAGCTGTGCTGGGGTCTTCCTGGACGGGAGGCCTCCCCGGGGGCTGGCCTGCGGTGTCACCTCCCGGGAAAGCCTTCTTCCTGGGCCTCGGCACAGTGCCATCCAGTGGACCTGCAGGCCACAGCCTCTCCGTGGGGCCCTGTCCACCGGGCTATGGGTGCCTAGGGGCGGGCCGTCCTGCCTCCCGTGTCTGCCAGCACCAGAGCCTGCACGGCAGGGGGCATCCTGCTGGCTGAGTGGGACATCCTGCTGGCCGAGTGGGACAACAGCTGCAGGAGCCCGAGGTGGACAGGGCCTCATGAGGCCCTCACAGAGCAAGATGGGACTCGGGGTCACCGCTGCCTGCTCTTTGCACCTCAGTTAGCAGCTCCATGTGCCTGGACCCTGGTGGCCTCCCTCAGCTCCCTGGGGTTCTTGCGGGGGTGAGGACAGCAGGGCCATGGAAGGAACTGGGGATTCTTGGAGAAGGGCTGGGTCTGTGGCTGAGACAGAGGAAAACCGGCAGAGCCTGGGGTGCCAGGAAGCAGGGAGGTGCTTGAACAGAAGCACACGCAGACGACGGTATGTCATGGCTCCCAGTGGGCATAGCTGGGGCACAGTAGGAACCGCCATCCAGAGTGTAACCCAACGTGGACTCCTGCAAAGGAGACCAAATAACACACAGACATGTCCGCTCGGGGGTCCCTGGAGCGTGGACTGGACCCCATGACTGGCCTCCAGACAACAGAGAAGGAACGGGAAAAGGAGAACTTGACAGAGGAGACACCTGGCAGACACACCCCAACCAGGCGATCCAGGTCAACGTCACCCATGATGCGAAGGGCACCTCTCCTCTGTGGGATTCTCCCCAAACCCACAACCTGTCCAGTCACGAGAAGACACCAGACAAACCCAGTCTGAGGGACATTTTACCAAATACATGACCAGACCTGCTCAGAACTGTCAAGGTCATGAAGAGCCCAGGAAGTCCAGAGATTGCTGCAGACCAGAGGGGACAGAGGAGCCATGACGGCTAATGTGGTGCGGGGACACCAGACGGGAAGGAGCGCTGGTGGGAAAGCTGTGTTGAGTCCATGGGTTGGTCATTTGCATTTCCAGCGTGGGTGTGATGAACGCCACGATGGTGAGCAGATGCCTGGAGAAGCCGAAAGGGGCTCAGGGTCCGTGGAACTCACTCTGTGTCTGCAGCTTCTCTGTAAACCGGAGGTGTGTGGAGACACCATCCTGGCTTATAAGAAGCTTTGGCCCAGGGCCCTTGTGTGGGTGCGTGTGGTGGCCGGGGGACAGCTCTGCGGGTCCCAGCCTTGTTCTTGTGACCCAGGCTGCAGCAGCTGGACGAGGAGAACAGTGAGCTGAGGTCCTGCATGCCCTGCCTGAAGGCCAGCATCGAGCGCTTGGAGGAGGTAAGCTGCCGGCCAGACTCTCCCCGCCCTCCGCCCCAGGTGACTTTGGGCCATCGGGACCTGAGACAGGTTCTCCAAAGCAGGGCAGCCGCACTGTCGGCCGATGGGCCTGTGGGGGTGTGGCTGCAGGCCAGGAAGCTGTGCTGCTCGAGAGCAGGCTGGTGGCCCCGGGGGTGAGGGAGCCAGGACACACTGGGCCTGGCCGTCCCTTTCCTGGAAGATGCGCGACCCTGCCTGGCTTCCCGGCATCCTTGGGCCTGAAGAGTCACGCATAGATTAACACCTGGTTTGAATCTAGGATGATGTCCTTGAGGGGCTGACTTCAGCTTGACCCCTTGTGCCCCGTGGTCCCCTCCCCACCCGGGGACCCCTGGGCAACTCTGCACCCTGAGGACATCTGAGAGCACTTGGGCTCTGGCCTCCTCCCAGAAACAGTCCCAGGCGCCTCGCAGGCCCACCTGCCACGTGTTGGGCGCAGACAGCTGAGGAGAGCTGCATGGATGGGCGGCAGACAGGCATGTCTCCGGCAACTGTTTCGTTCTTGCAGGAGAAGCAGAAGCTGCTAGATGAGATTGAGGAGCTGTCTCTACGGCTCAGTGAGGAACAGGAGAACAGGAGGAAGCTGGGGGACAGGCTGAGCCACGAGAGGCACCAGTTCCAGAGGGACAAGGAGGCGACCCAGGAGGTGAGCACAGAGCCCCGGGGTTCCCCCCCCATTGGCGTTCAGACCACCCCAGAGGTCCTGAAGCCAAGCTGAGCCAACCCCCGCTGCTGCAGCTGATCGAGGACCTGCGCAAGCAGCTGGAGCATCTGCAGCTCTTCAAGCTGGAGGCCGAGCAGAGGAGGGGCCGCAGCAGCAGCGCAGGCCTGCAGGAGTACAACAGCCGCACGCGGGAGAGTGAGCTGGAGCAGGAGGTCCGGAGGCTGAAGCAGGTGCGGGCTGGGCTCACGCTTCTGGGGGTCGACATGGGGGTGCGTGGGGGCCGGTGCCCGAGTTCGTGGTCCTGCCTCGGCCCAGAAGTGACACCCTGTGTCCCCCAGGACAACCGCAGCCTGAAGGAGCAGAATGACGAGCTCAACGGGCAGATAATCAACCTGAGCATCCAGGGCGCCAAGAACCTCTTCTCCACGGCCTTCTCTGAGTCTCTGGCCGCAGAGATCAGCTCTGTCTCCCGCGACGAGGTAACGCCCCGCCCCGTCCCCTGCGGGCGTCCGCAGTCTGGGCACCTGGCACCGACCCCTAGCTCCTCCCACAGCTCATGGATGCCATCCAGAAGCAGGAGGAGATCAACTTCCGCCTGCAGGACTACATCGACAGGATCATCGTGGCCATCATGGAGACCAACCCATCCATCCTGGAGGTCAAGTAGTGCCACTCAGCGGGGCTCCAGCACAGCACACACGCAGCTGAGACCGAGGTCCCTCACCCACCGTGGAGCACACAGCTGGGCAGGGCAGGGCAGGGGAGGAGGGATGCTGGGACCGGAGCCTGCGGTGGCTCTGGCCTCTCGCTATGCCCTCCTTTCTGCAGAGAATGAGGGACAGTCTCTCAGGCTGGGGTGAACCCCTCTGTGACCTCTCCCACGCTTCCTGCCTTGTCAGGGAAAAAAGGAATGAAATGGGTCCCCACCGGGGGTGCTACTCCCTGTGCCCGCCAGGCACCCTAACCTGGTGCCATCCAAGTCTCAGCCACTCCTGGATGGTATAGAAGCCCCAGGACCCTGGCGCCAGACATGGTGGGGCAGGGGGAGGACAAGCAGGAGAGGCCAGTGTGTGTCAGGGTCTGGCCAGGAGCTGTAGGGCCGCCCCCCCCCCCCCCAGCTTTCCTGGAGCTGCTCAGGCTGGCACCCAACCAGAAGGGGCCCCTTGGTCCAGCTTCAGGCCCAGGGGCCTCTAGGCCACAGGTCTGTGCTCACGGCCAGCCTCTCGTTGCAGTAACTCTGGGCGCTGACGCTCCTGTGACTTGAGAGTCATGGCGTGGAATGTGCTGTCTGTATCGGGTGGGTGTTGCTGTTCCCCTCTGACCCTGGGGGTTCAGGCAGGGCTGTGGCTCCCAGGGGTGTGTCCTCTCCTCCCTGTGCGGATCTCCGCTGGCCCGAGGAAACCAAACGTCTGGAACCAGTTTCCTCTGGGAGTTTGAGGTCTTTAGGAGTCGTCCTGTCTCCACAAGGTGCACTTTGCAGGAGGCTGGGGCGGGCAGGCTCTCACAAGTACACAGTTCAAGGCCTTCCTGGTGGCTTGGGGGCTCCTTCAAGGAAGCCCCTGCCCGGCACTTGCACTGCCAGGAGCAGCAGCATCACCCACAGGGGCTGCTGGGCCTGCCCCCCGAGCCTGAGCGCCAGCCAGGAGCCTCCGGGTGCTCCCAGGTGGGCCAAGACCCTGCACACAGGCGGGCCACCGTTGTGTGCGAGCGCATACGTGAGGGTGTGTGTGTGTGTGCGTGCGTGAGCAAGCGTGTGTGTGGCTCTGTGTCCCTCCACCCTCCACGTGGCCCACCTTCTACACTAAGATTTAAGACGTTGCCTCGTATTGTATATTTTGGGGAAAGCTTTGGGTGTAAATCAATGTAAACTTGGAGGAGAGATTTTTCTATCGTGTAGAGTAGGTATTTTTTATAGATTGAAGG